TCCCAGAGGTCCCAGGATTCAGTCCTTGGTCAAACAGACTTTTCCGCAGGCCACTGCCTCTTTTGGAAAAAGTCTCTTTCGTACCTTTCTGGTCGAACATAGTCCAATCATCCCAGGGCGGTCGTTCGCCCGCTCCCCACTTCGATGGGGTCGGAGGTGGCCAGGGTGCGTAAGCCGGTCTCGGGATCGCTCCCCCCACAGCTCCCGTAGTAGGCACTGTCTCGGATGCCGTTGAAATCAGAGTGGTGGAGGTGACCGGGACGCTTCCCGTATCAGCCTCCGTTGAAGGTGGTTTCCCCTCGCTCTCGCTCATGACAGCCGTCAGATTCGAGATGATAGGGAAAATAGGATTCCTAACAAAATGTTAGATCCCAAGCATTCAAAATAAATCCACGTTTAAAAGTAAAGCAAAATTTATTTCAAAGCGATGGTTTGATCAGGAACAAGGACATTGTTAGGAATAACTGCAATCGTACTGGGACTACATAATAAAGGAACTTGAACCAGGTAAGGGCCAATTAGCCCCTTTCCCTCTGGCGGGAATAGAACAGAGAACGCGCGCCCAATTCCTTGGGAACGTAACGGTTCAACATATTACACAAGTTCAGTTCTCAGGCAAGCTAACCATAACAGCGAAGCGATACCACGACTCCCACCTCCAGCTGCTCGACCTTGGCCAGTTTCGCAAAGCTACACAGTTGATATAATGAAGCAAAAGGGTACACCGGGGGGGGAATGGTTGGAACAGCTTCTACAGGTAATACTATATACACCAGACATAATGGCAGCTAGCTGACAATTGGTAGGTATTAAATTAGGATTTAATTTCATGGTGCTGTATAAGTGTGTAGATGTTCTACAAAGCCAAGCCTGTATAAGACTCTCTTTTCTTAATTGCTTCGGTACTTGGCATGGCTACAGTTGAGTGGAATTAAAATTTTTGTGTTTAGGATATACATAAGAAGGTGATGTCCCTGCAGTTTAATGAATGCCGTACTAAGATTCGTCATGTGGACGCCCACGCAACCTTGAATGATGGAGTAGTTGTGCAGGTCATGGGGGAGTTAACAAACAATGGGCAGCCGATGCGGAAATTCATGCAAACCTTTGTACTGGCTCCAGAAGTAAGTAACCACCCAAATATTTGGTTTCAAGGATTAGTAATTTAAACTTGGGACCTAAGAATGTTTTCACATCAAATGTCACTTTGAAAGCTCTCCTTTCAGTTAATTAGACTAAGCAGTTTTGTAGTAAACACAGCATGCACTTATGGGAGAGCTTGAAAAATGAAAGTACATGTAAATTGCCTGGTACCAGCATTGGGCAAGCATTGCTGACTTTTAATTGACGTTAGAAAGAACTGCAAAATAGTACATGTAGTTCATTTGAAGTCTGAACCACCAAGGTAGGGGGCAGCAGGTTGTGGTACCGTATCTGCCTCGCATCTCCTGATCAGACTAGACTGTCCTGGGCTAGAAGGACCGATGTCCTGAGCGGGTGTCCTATGCTCAGTATTCGCATGGCTTCTGCTTCTTTGTTGGCCTAGTGCTGCCCTGAGTCGGGAGAACTGATGACTAGAGCTGGGGAAGAAAATAGGTTGTTTTACTTGGAGGTTTTAGGCAAACACCTTGAGATAGAGCCGTATAAAACATTTTTCCTGCTTGTTGCTGCACGGTGATCATGCTGGTCAATAGGTAGAGCTTCTGGGAAACACAGGCAGGTGCTGAGTTGGACTTGCAGGACATCCATTCCTCCTGAGGGCCAGTTTTAATTTTTTAATTATTTCTGCTTGGGCTCCCTCCTGTGTGTGGAATCAGAGCAGCTTATAACACACAAAACCACAAATGGCAGCATGCTCCAGCATCCTGGGCTGGTCCTGGATCAGTGGCCCTGCTCATTCCGTTGGCCAGCCAGGGCCGAGAGCCAAGGGCCCTTTGGCTTGTGCTTGAACATACCTGGAACAAGGAACAGCTCAGCCCAGATCTCAGTCAGCAGGCAGAGATGACAGGGGGGCTTAGGTCTCTGCCCCCTAACCGGGGGGGGGGTACAGTTTGAGCGGCTTGTAGTCTGCTGCCAGCACCTGCAGAGATTCTTGTTCCTCTTTTTGTCTTGGAAGGGGCTGTTAACTTAAGGCTTTTTTCCTGAGTTTGTCCCTATTAAACAAACGTGTGTACACCTGATAACTTCTCAGTTGTACCTCATACTCCCAAGAGTGTATGGGTGGTGGCACCTGGATGGCCGTGAACCACACTATATCACAGAGTAGTAGGTCACTTGGTCCTGAGGTTAGACCTCCCCCCCCTGTGGGTAAGTTGAGTTCCTCTTGGCCAGCCTTCCCCTCCTCTCTCCCACCCCTCCTCACTCTCCTGCAGGGAGGGACTGCGTTCATGAAGCCCCCCGGTAGCTCACAGGGGCTTCCAAATCAGCCGTTCTGATGATTTGGGCGCTGTCCTGGATGCCTTGGTGGCGGCAGGCCTGGGCTCCCTCACTGCCTCTGCTGTGTACATCCGCCTGTCACCCCTTCTCGACAGACATTGACTGGTGTTGGCCGGGGGGGGGGGAGAGAACAGGATCAGCACGTTCCTTAGTGGCCTTTTTTCCAAAGGGGAATTGCACAAGGAGTCATCGGGTATTCCTTTGAAAATGGTCGAGTTCACTGTTGTAAGCCTGAACGTGTGAATGTACCTTCTTGAGGGAAGCTGGGCCACTCAAAAAAGGGTTGAGTGTCCAAGTGAAAAGTCACGGGGGGCATATGGGTAAGCACTTGGGCCATGGAGGGGCATGGAGTCGACGTTGGTGATGGCAAAGGTCATGTCTTTCCTCTGGCCTCAAGGGCTGTAGAGAAGCTGGAAATCAGGAACTGCCCATATTGAGAGGGTCTCTAGTATCTCTCCCTGCGAACCACGTCCTCTGGCTCTCCCCCCGCCCCCCCCCCCCCCCCAAACTCCCTGGATATTTCCTGAGTCGGACTAGAAGACCCTGACTTGACAGAAAGGAAGAGCTGTTTCAGGAAGGGGAGAGAAGAGATCAGTCTGAAGAGTGACCTTCAGTTAGAAGGGAAAAGGAGGAAGAATATAGTTTAAATGAGACGGGAAAGTCCATTCATCTTTTGCAGCGTCAGTTCTGAATTTGCTAATATCCAATAGACTTCTGTTGTTCCTTGTATGAAGAAGTGCTCAGAGTTCTACTTTCCTGGACTGTTTTTTGCTTACTTGGGCTTTGACATTATACATTCAACATGCGGTGTGCAGAGAAATAGCCAATGAAGAACTTTATTAAAGTTAGTGTATGAGAGAACCTCACCCCTACCCCACTATTCTGGCTAACCCAGTTTTCACTCTAATAGGCCATCTAGCCAAGCTTAATGACTTGTCAGGTCTTGCTGCCGTAGTTGTATTTGTGTTTGTAATACCCTTGAACGTTTTCCTTTTTGTGGAAAGTGCCATCAAAGAGGTGGTTTGCCATTGCCCTTTTTGCCATTGCCCTTCAGTACTGCAAAAGGATCTTAACATCTACAGTACCGTGTGGCTCAAGGTCTGGCTTGAGGAACCCTTCTGAAGATCTCTCTTTTAGATGGAATGAACTCAATGATGAGAAATTCAGAGCTGAGAGTCTTGGTTATTGAATAGGAGTGAAGCCATAATATCGGTGCATGATAGAAACTGTTAGCATTGGGTCTGCACCTAAATCCAGCTTTTTGCTGGCATGAAGAATGAGCTACTTCCTTAGCAGGCTCTTGGGCATGGGACTCCAACATCTATCTTAAAGTGTCTCTAGAATTATTATTCTCTTCCCTAGACTTCCAGGGTTTCAGTTCATCTAAGCCTATTTCAATGGGGCAGTTTTATACATGATCTTTTAGCTTGGCAACCATCAGGAATGTGTCTCTGTGGGTAGGTAACTGAGAAAGCATCTCTGAGAGTAAGTATACAATACCAGATTTTCCAAATGAACCCAGCAGGTAAGAGTTCTTAAGTTTTTGTAACTGTATTGGTAGTCACATGAGCGCAGAGGAATATTAACTGAATTTGAAAATAATAGCATTATTACTATTTGGTTATCAAGTAACAGTAGTGCTTTTCCCAGGTTCATCAGACTTTCTAACCACTGGTTTTACTTGGTTCCATTAAAAGTAGATTCCCCCCCCCCCCCCCAATGGATGAATGCAAATCTTGCCTGACTCGGTCAACAGTTCAGCTTTCTTCTACCTATGGTGTGTTTGTTTTTCAGGGCTCTGTTCCAAATAAGTTTTATGTCCACAATGACATATTCCGTTATGAAGATGAAGTATTTGGTGAATCTGAAGCTGAACTAGATGAAGGTAAGGGAGTCTCAAAGAAAGCATGGCCCTGGATTTGCATGCTTCGTCTTCAGTGATGAGGATGAATTTTGGTGCTGAATTTTAGTGTAGTGTAATGGTTAGAGTGTTGTGGGACACTCAGATTTGGTTATTCATTCCACCCTGGAAGGATTGCTAGGTGACTTTGGGTAAGTCATTCTCCCAGCCTAACCTATCTCATCGAATGGTAGTTGTGGATAAAATGGAGAAAGGGAAAACAATGCTGTAAGCAAGTTTGGGTCACCATTGTATAAAGGTAAAGGTTTCCCTTGCTCGAAAGCCAGTCGAATCCAACACTAGGGGGTGGTGCTCATCTCCGTGTCCAAGCTGAAGAGCCAGCATTGTCCAAAGACTTCCATGGTCATGTGGCCGGCATGACTAAACACTGAGGCGCATGGATGCTGTTATCTTCTCACCGAAGTGGTACCCATTTATCTACTTGCAGTTTCTTGCTTTCGAACTGCTAGGTTGGCAGGAGCTGGGGCCACAGACGGGAGCTCACTCCGTCATGTGGCACTCGGGTCTCAAACTGCCGAACTACCAGCCTTTTGGTCTGCAGTTCATCGTCTTTAACCTTTGAGCCACTGCGGCTCCTACATCATTGTATACAAATGTCCTTGACAACCACGACGGTATAATCACTGACCTCGAGCCAGACATCCTGGAATGTGAAGTTAAATGGGCCTTAGAAAGCATTAGTAACAACAAAGCTAGTGGAGGTGATGGTATTCCAGCTGAACTATTCAAAGTCTTAGAAGATGATGCTGTTAAAGTGCTGCACTCCATTTGCCAGCAAATTTGGAAAACGCAACAGTGGCCACAGGATTGGAAAAGGTCAGTATACATTCCAATCCCAAAGAAGGGCAATGCCAAGGAATGTTCAAACTATCACACAATTGCACTCATATCACACGCTAGCAAGGTCATGCTCAAGATCCTACAAGCTAGGCTTCAACAGTACGTGGATAGAGAACTACCAGAAGTACAAGCTGGGTTTCGAAGAGGTAGAGGAACGAGAGATCATATTGCCAACATTCGCTGGATTATGGAGAAAGCAAGAGAGTACCAGAAAAATATCTACTTCTGCTTCATTGACTATGCTAAAGCCTTTGACTGTGTGGATCACAACAAACTATGGCAGGTCCTTAAAGAGATGGGAGTACCAGACCACCTCACATGTCTCTTGAGAAACCTGTATAAGGGCCAAGAAGCAACAGTTAGAACCGGATATGGAACAACTGATTGGTTCAGCATAGGAAAAGGAGTACGACAAGGATGTATACTGTCACCTTGCTTATTTAATATATATGCAGAGTACATCATGCGAAATGCTGGCCTGGATGAATCACAAGCGGGAATTAAGATTGCTGGGGAAAAGATCAACAACCTCAGATATGCAGATGATACCACTCTAATGGCTGAAAGTGAAAAGGATCTAAAGAGCCTCTTGCTCAGAGTAAAAGAGGAGAGCGCAAAAGTGGGCTTGAAGCTCAACATCAAAAAAACTAAGATCATGGCATCCGGCCCCATCACTCCTTGGTAAATAGAAGGGGAAGTTGTGGAAGTAGTGACAGACTTCACGTTCCTGGGATCCCAGATCACCGCAGACTGTGACTGCAGCCATGAAATTAAAAGACGCCTGCTCCTTGGGTGGAAAGCGATGGCGAACCTAAACAGCATGATAAAAAGTAGAGACATCACCCTGCCAACAAAAGTCCGCATGGTCAAAGCAATGGTATTCCCAGTAGTCATGTATGGCTGCGAGAGTTGGACTATAAGGAAGGCCGAGCGCCGAAGAATAGATTCTTTTGAACTATGGTGCTGGAGAAGACTCTTGAGAGTCCCTTGGACTGCAAGAAGATCAAATCAGTCAATCCTAAAAGAAATCAACCCTGACTGTTCCCTGGAAGGTCAGATAATGAAACTGAAGCTCAAATACTTTGGCCACCCAATGAGAAGGGAGCACTCACTGGAGAAGACCCTGATGTTGGGAAAGATTGAAGGTCAAAGAAGATGGGGACGACAAAGGATGAGATGGTTAGACAGTGTCATCGATGCAACGAACATGAAATTGAGCAAACTTCAGAGGACGGCGGAAGATAGGAGGGCCTGGCGGGAGATGATCCATGGGGTCGCGAAGAGTCGGACTCGACTGTGCGACTGAACAACAACAACAACAAAATAAAAATAGTTTGGCATATGAGCCCAAGCTCAGCTCTGAAAACTGTCCATGAAAGCCACCTAAGCCCATTTAGCACAGCAAGTTCAAGAAAGAGATTAGTAAACACCCCAGTTCCCATCGTCTTTGTACAACAGCATGTTTATGGAGCTTAATTTTGATTCAGCTCAAATTGGTGTCTGATCCAGCCACCAACATTAAACCTGGCACAGGATGCAAGTAGGGGTGTGTATTCGGCTTCCCCTGAGCTGAAAAAAATACCGAATAAATGCCTTATCGGTATTCATTTGAACTCAGGGAGTGGGGGGGGGGGAAGGGGCATTTAAACATGCCAGCCCTGTGCCTTTCCCTCCCCTCCCTGAGGCTCCCTGCCTGCCCTTCTCCAGCTGCCCCGGGGCAGCTAGAGAAGGGAGGGCAGAGAAATGAAGGCTTTCCATGGTCAGTCTCACTCCCACGGACCTGTCTGCTGGTGAGGTTTAAATGGCTTCACCTTAAGCACTGACTGGTGAGGAGGGAAATTGACCAGGGAAGCTGCAGGGGGCTTCAGGAGGGAAAGAAGGCATTCTGACATGCCTCCCTTCCCTCCAGTTGTTTATATCAGACCCGAATATATTCGGCATTACTGAATATTTCATTAGTCCTGCTACTTTACTGGTATTGGACATGGATAATTCAGCATTTATCAATAGTTTTTGGGTCTGATATACCCAAAGCCAGAAAATACCAACTTTTTTCTTTTGCACACCCCTAGATGCAAGTTGACTGGAGGTTTGCATTAGAGTCCAACAGTTTATGCAAGGTTCCGACTAGATTAAGCGACGTGCCTGTTCAGTTTTTTTTACTTGAGCCAGTGCCTACAAGGGCTATCTCTGAATAGAAGTCTTGATTATCTTGTACCAGCAATTTGAAGCTGAAATCAGACTTCAAACCCCAGATCAGGATAGGGCATGAAGCAGGGTCCCCTGGGGGTTTCTGAGCCTGTGGGCGTTTAGGATTCTTCTGACACAGTGTGTGGTTCAGCTGACCTTCAGCCACACAGTGAAGATCCTTGTGCAACCCAGTCAGGTCTCTCATGGCCAATCAGAAGCTTTGCTGGGCAGAAGCCCCACCTGGTCTTCCGCACTTTCTAAAAATACTTGGCGGCTACCAGGAAACTTGTGGGAGCGCCATGGGGCCCCACGGGCACCATATTGGAGACACCAGGCATGATGCCATCCAACAGAATTATGATGTTGGTAAGACCCAGCATAATGAACATCATTGACTTCCAGAACTTGAAATGTACATCAACAAGAACACTAAACCTTTATTACATAATTTGCTTGTGTATGTTTTGTAAAGCTCGAGGCGTGCCCTTTTGAGACAACTGACTTTCATAAGATCTGTGACTATGCTGTGCCTGTATTTCTTAAGGAAGCTAAATCTGACATGAAATACTGGAAGCAGTTGGCACTTTTCTTGCTTCATGTAATGCATCTTTATGACAGCTACAGTATGGTCATTTAAGGCAATGGAGAGCATGTGACGATCTTCCCAGTTCATTTATGTGTGGTTAAGAACTTGGGAGTTTCTATTTTTTGTATGAAGTAACTTAGGAGAGCTGGGGAGATTCAGCTGAAACTGAATCCAGACAAGTTGCTTGGTAAGGCAGAGAGACTTTGGCAGGGATTTCCTACCCACTTTGGATGGGGTGGGTTTGAATTTGACCATGTCTATAAAGAGTTCAGGAGGAGTATTTGATTCTGGCTTTGTTCGAAGATCAGGTAAACACAAAGAATGAATACTATCAGCCTTCCTGACACCCATGGACCTGTGGCCGTGCTGATACGGCTGTTTCTGTAGCCTCAAGGCAGGGCTGTTTAACATGGTTTGTGTGGAGCTGCCACTGAAGCCTTCCCAGAAGCCACAGTATAGGGTGGCTCTCCTGCTGACTAGAGCTTGCATGTGGGAGCACATTACTCCCATCTTGGAACAGCCACATTAGCTGTAGAGAGGCCTTTTGTAGTTAATTCCATAGGTGTGTGTTATCTTGAGGGAGAATTATATAACTTTTTCCTTGCTCTTTTTCTGCTTTTAATTTCTTGGCTACAAGCCTTTTAAAAATGTGACCTTGAGGTACTGTCTATGTTCAGAAAAGGCGACTTATGTACTTTAACATACATTCCATTAATAATGAGGAACCCAGACTTTGAGAACTGTTGGAAGCATCTGATTGTGCAGCTGACTGACATGCAGTCCCGCCACATGCATCCTTACTTGGAAGTAGACCCCATTGACCTCCTCAATATGTAGTAGGGATGCAGCCTTAAAATGTTGGTTTTAACTTAGTAGTGATATCATGGTTGTTTCACCCCGCTGACAGTTCTTTTCTGCGTGAGCCTCTGTTATTACCAGTGTGGGAGAAATTCCAGTATGGAACTTCCTAAGGAAAAATTAGAGTGGCTGTCCCGCAGAAATGGTTGTTGGGGGGAAGTGTGCTTTAGAGGAGATCAACTTGTAAGTCCGTCTGCTAGTATATGAGTCGTGCTAGAAGATGGCAGTGAGGGTGGTGTCCGTGGGGTGTGTGTGTGTTCAGAGCTGTCAGGGCACAGCCGGCTCACGCTGAGACATTTAGTGGGGTGGTTTGCTGCTGCCTGCCTCTCTGTAGCGATCCTGGACTTCCCGGGGTGTGTGTGTCTGGGTGTGTGTGTGTGTGTGTCTCTCTCTCTCATCCAGGTACGGGCGCCAGGGGGGGCCGGCCCTTCTTAGCTTCTGAGATCTGACGAGATCGGCCTAGCCGGGGCCATCCAGGGCAGGGCAGGGCAGTGCTAGATAGATTTAATAGGGAAGACAAGTGGCTGCTGTTCCTGGTGAAAATAACTAGAGGAGGAGGGAGGTGTGAACATGCAGAAATGTAGCCAAAGGGAGTTGCGTCAGTTACCTTTATTTTGTGATAATGATCCATATTTATTGTTTTTAACGTTTCCGTATTAAACTTGACTGTCCCTTAATTTTACTGTTTGGGAAATTAAATGGTTAAACATGGGAAAGGTTTGTTCAGGCACAAAAAATGTACAGCATTGAATTAGAAGGGTTTCTCAGATGGAATATTTCGGTTTTACTTTAGGACTGTATCTAATTTAAGAAATGTTAGTTGATCATAAGTTTCAGTTAATTAAATTGATACAAGAATAAAATGCATCTGAAAAAAACATCAATGGCTTAGGTGTATGTGCTTGTGTATTGGATTTCTGTGACATTTTTGTATGCCGATATTCAGAGCAATTTGAAAACAAATTACAGTTCAAATCACAGGCTTATGAAGTGTCAAATAAGAATAAAACAGGTATAATAGCATGGCTGAGCCATAAATAATCACAGAAACACTAGCAAAGTAAAAACCAATTCAAACTGCAGTAATCACCATTTTAATGTTGTATATTTAAAATCTGATAGTTGAACATGCATCATCCCTTGATACTGTAGCCATGCAACTATTAACGTACATATGTTAATACTTCCCCTAAATCCACTGCATACATTTGAATTTTAAGGACATCTTAATGTCTCAGAAGTTGCCAGCCCTAAGAATAGCTGATGTTAAGCCAAATCAGGACGAGTGGAGCCTGTAGGCACAGATCTGCCAACATAGGTCCCTGGGAGGTTCATACAAAGCCACCATTTGTCTGCCCTGCCTGACATACCTGTCTCATAACCCAAGTTGTTACACTGATCGCTGTGAGCATGAACTATCCTGATACACTAACAGCATGGCATTGCACATACCAAGTGTGCACTGCACAGTCCAGGCTGGGTTAACTTCAGCCCTATACATCCTAGGTTTTTACAAGAATCTCCATGATGCACAAGTGTATATTAAGCATAGTAAGTAACGAGTTGTTTTTAACTGACATGTTAAAGGTTTTGACTAAAAGGCTACTTTTTAAATGTCTTAGAATCAGAAGATGAAGTAGAAGAAGAGCATGAAGAAAGGCAGCCATCCCCTGAGCCGGTGCAAGAGAATGCAGCCAGTGCTTACTATGAAAGTCACCCTGTAACGTAAGACAACACAGCTTGCTTAACTGCATTTACTCTTTGCCTGCAGTAATGTGTAGGGGGTTGTAAATTGCAAGTATTGAAAGATGGGTCACGTTGAGCAATTCCAGAGTCCCACATGGAGGACAGTATCGTTCGAGGAGGATGGACCACCTTTTACTCTCCCCTTTTAAAGTGATCTATCACTTTCATGTTGTGCCTAACAGCTATGGCATGAGAAGTGTTTCTTGTCTTTGGTTCATTTCTGTGTAGCCTGGCGTGGGAACACATATGAGGGTGTATAAAATTGAGTTGGTGAGGCCACATAGAAAGCAAAAAGTCTTGGCAAGCGTATAAGTGGTCAGGTAGTTAAATTTTATCGCAGCAGAGAAATGATGGATTTGTCTACCTACCAACCAAGTTAAGAGGTTAGTGGAATGACTCACGTATGGATGCTAGATTAATGAGATGTACAGATGAAAATGGAGAAGATATAGAGGCCAGTAAAGCCACATTGGTTACCAGAGTTCTAGATAAAGTCTGTGACTGCCGTGGAAGAGTTGCCTTTACTCTGTGGTTGGCAAGTTGTCATGAGCTTGATTTTTTTCTCAGAAGCCCCTTATAATTTTTGTCTGCGTCAGGGAGAAATTGTCAGGGAACAGCAGAGTACAGACTGATGCTGAATTCAAATACTTAGGTCAGCCTGCTTTCATCTGCCCATGACCCACATTCCTTTCTCCATAGTGTGGAGTAGAAAGCAACCTTTCCAGTGTTGCTTGTGTCAGGCAAGGTTTGCTGATCTTGGCCTGCTGTTTTGTTCACAGGCTTGAAAAAAGATCAGATGTTAATCTGTTCTATAAATTGGGGTAAGTGCCATCAAATCACAGCCGACTTATGGTGACCCCGTAGGATTTTCAAGCAAGAAATATTCAGAGGTTGTCTGCCATTGCATGCCCCTGTGTAGCAGTTTCCATGGTGGGTCTCCCATCCAAATACTAGCAAAGGCTGACCCTGCTTAGCTTCTGAAATCGGGCGAGACCAGGCTAGCCGGTGCCATCCAAATTCCGTGAAAGAAAAAACTGGAATTGATGCTCACAAATAAGTGGTCAGTTTCATTATCCATTAACTTTATTTAAGAGACTTTTACATCCTGCCTCTTAACAAAGCTCTTGAGTTGGCTTGCGCAGTTTCTATACAAACAATAGAATAGATTGTCAATATTAAAATTGCAGTAAAAAACTCACCTTTTGGGCTGTTGCTATAACTAAATGTTAGAAAATAAACAAATTACAGTCCTTGTCTATTGTCAAAAGCAAATACAACTACTTTGTCTGGCACCTAAGACTTAAGAGCTGGATATCAGGGACCCAGGGCCATAAAAGCAGTACAGCCAGAGAAAAGTCTGTCCCTCCCTTAGAGCAGCAAGGAGGAAATATGACATTACCCAAGTATCTATGATTTGGTGTTTTTCTTCTTCTATCTTCTTCATGGTCTCTGTGCATCACGCCTTTGGGATATAGTATGCCTGTGCCAATCCTGAGTGGTAACATTTAAAGCTGAAAGGGATTTTTTGCGTGCATTTCTGATGTCACGCGCAGGGGCTCCACTGTGCATGTCTACACAAGGATCCCGCCCGTTCTCTTCTGACCGCCATGCCGTTTGGACCTCTCTCCTCGTTTTGGTTGGTAACATACCTTTTTTTCTTGGAACTTCTCCCATTTGAAAACTTTCTTCAATTCCACAAGTTTCTCCAAACCATGAACAAACATATTTGGAAGGTTAGTGACTAATTTTAATGGGGCTGGGGGCCCTGCCGCTCCCCACCCCATTCAACCCCCCCCCAAGACTTTCCCCCGCTTTTTCCCTCTTCAGCCTACAACAAAACGTTGGGGGTTCTTCAAGCGGTGCCTAAAGTGTGGCAGCAAAATTGCACAAAATTGCACCCTCAGACAACCACTCCCTTTGCTTACTCTGCCTCGGGGAAACCCACTGTGTGGAGTGTTGTGTACACTGCTCCAAGTTCTTGAAACAAACGAGGAAAAATCGAGCAGCCAGTCTCTGAACTGCATTTCTTGAGTCAGCACTCTTACCTCCACCGATGGCATCATCCTACGAGACCTCCGGCCACACCTTGATGTCAACCCCCTCATCGGCGTCGACTCTTGTCCTCTTGTCAACACTGACTCCTTCTGATGCTGATCAACTGATGCCAAAATGCTTGGTCCCACCGTCTGACTCTGACAACCCTACTCCTGCCAAAAAACGCAGGGGAGGGTAAAGAGCATAAGCAAGACAAGCAGAAGAAACATGAGAGAGACCTGGAAAAATCCAAAAGTTCTCTGAACAAGGCTGTCCCAGTACCACACCATGTGTCAGAACCTCACTCGGCTCCTCCTCTCGAATTGTTTGACTCGCCCATTCATAGCCAGTCACTCACTGGAGTAAGGTCGCCCTTGGCACAACCCCTACGCCTCTCTGATTGTGACCATGAAATAGACCTAACTCAACAGACATACCGGTCCCATTCCTCCAGCACCAAAAGCAGCCATGCAGATCACAGGGGGAAGAATACTGGATTGCTTTGTCCCACCTCGCCTCCTTACACCTCCCACTGTCACCTTTACGACGATTGGGACCGATCCTCGAGCTTCCAGCCTCCTCCACTGCCTCTCGTCCCATGGGATCAGAGGCAGTGGTAATACTTCTATGGGGCATATCCCCTTTCTTCAACCTGCCCCTGCTTTTGGGTCAAACACTAGTAGAGTGGGATTGACAATCCACCTCTTCCCACATCTCTCGATACCGAGACCCCACTCTGAGGCCAGAAACAACCCTTTCAAAGCCTTTGCCTCCAACAATCCAGCCTCACAAGCAAGCAGCTAAACATAAGACCTCAGCTTGCTTTCTTTCTTTCTTTCTTTCTTTCTTTCTTTCTTTCTTTCTTTCTTTCTTTCTTTCTTTCTTTCTTTCTTTCTTTCTTTCTTTCTTTCTTTCTCGATTTATATACCGCCCTTGACCCCAAAGGGTCTCAGAGCAGTTTACAGAGAATATACTAATTGTTCCTAATCTAGGGCCACAATTCATATGGGAAGGGGCTGCCTACCGACACTCAGTGGCACGTTCTGTTGTTGTTTCCGGGCGGGCTTCTGGTGTTGCTTCCGGCGCCTCGGATGGGCCGACGGCATCCTCGGCAGGCTTCAGATGGAGTTCCTCCGGCGCGCGGCTGCGCACGGCTGCTCCGACTGTGCCACCTAGGGCAGGTACCCATTTGTCTACTCGTGAGTACACTTTCGAGCCGCTGGGTGGGTGGGAGCTGGGACTGGGGCCGGGAGCTCACCCCGCCTGCGGTGGGTCTCGAACAGCCATAGTGGCTGTTGACTAGTGTTGTTATTGCAGGCATTGAACTGCCTGCGCCACCGCTTTTGACACTGATGCCATCGGTACTGGGCAGCCCAATACTGACACACCTCTCAGCAACCTCCAACATGGAGGAGTCTTCTACTGCATCCACCCAGGAATCAGGGGTTGAAGAATTAGAACATCACAACTCCCAGCACTGAGACTTCTAGCGCATCCCCCACACCCCGAGTAACGGAAGATCTTCCTATCTCTCCAGCAGAGGACCTGAAATCCTATGGAGAGTTTATAAAGTCCATGGCTCATACACTAGGGCTATCCACAGTTCAACTGCCACCTACAGTTAAAGAATACTGTCTTTGATATAGTACAGATGGACACATCGACAGCTATCACCTTGCCAATGACTTTGATCCTTCCAGAGGCTGCCAAAGCTCCCTGGTCTCATCCAGCCTCTACTCCGGTATCATCTCAGAGAATCGACCACATGTATAAGATCCAAGAGACAGAAGCCAATTCTTATTCTCACACCCCAAACCTAACTTAGTGGTGGTTACCTCCTCTTCTAAAGGCAGATGTACACATACCACGTCTCCTGACAAGGAGGGTAAGAAACTAGTCTCGGCTGCAAATACTACTCGCCGTGTGCCCTGGGCATCAAAACTAATATGCCCTATGGGAACAGCTCTCTGAATTCATTGCATCCCTTCCGGAGGATATGAACCACCACTCTAGATGCATGCAACAAGAGGAAATGCTACTGGCAAACCAACAGCTAAATGCAGCCAAACACACGTTGGAGATTTCAGCCAAACCTCTTACCTCCGTAATAACACTGCACCGTCACTGCTGGCTGTGCTCCACCGCCCTTCAGCAAGACACCAGATCATATATTAAAGAACCTCCCCTTTGAAGGTAAAGGCCTATTTATATCCACTATGGATACCATCCTTCAGGATCTTTATAAAAGCATCATCTCATAACTTGGGGGCATCCTCATCTACTAGGTCCTCTAAACCCAGATCCCAGGATAAACCATGGTCTCGCTGACCTTTCAGCAAGCCATCTCCTGACCAACCTTGGCAACCAAGATCTCTCCACATACTCCATCTTGTACATCATATGGATTCAAGCCCAAATGTTCATCCTCCACACAACCCAAGACCAAAATTCCCAAGAGCACAAAGCAGAACTTTTGACTT